GGAAAAGAATAACTTATGACAGAAAAATAAACCTCTGTAAAAGGTTTCCCAAAATTGCCTTTGACACAAATGAGAGAAATTTGTATGTCATTGTATAAAGGAAGGTTTTGTAACCAGTTGATACTGGGTGTATTGGATATTCTCTCTTATAAACCTTACTACCTTTTCATGATCTCATCATAGAAACAAACCAAATGTCCTAGTGGTAGACATTTCAATGCCACTCAGACTCTGCCTTTGTATTTCTTTGCTCTGTTTTGAATCAACACGCTTTCTGTTTGGTGAATCCACTCCTATGCATCTGGAGTCTTGAAATCAGAACATCTCTGCCCTAAAGCAAGCCATAAAACCTACCAGGATCACTCTCTCTTTTCTCCCTTGAAAACTATATTCCAGAGGGATCCTGCCCCATTCCTGGGAGAGAGGAAAAAGTGCTATACAGACAGGTCTTGCTGGGTTTCTTCTTCAATCTATGACCATTAGATAATACCCTCTTTGTCCAACCATATTTCTACATGGCGATTCATTTTTCATCAGACCTAAGAATAAAAAGGTATAGTAGTTTCCCTTGAGTCTTTGTGTCTTCATTTCTGAAGACTCCTATGTTAAAACAATGATCAAGAAAACCAAAATAGAAAACAACCATAACTTCCATTAAATTTGTTTTACTTTTCTCTTGTTAAGTTGTCCTTCATTTTATGAAAGTGGGTTTTGACTCTTATGATGGGTAAGAAAATATATTTTTCCACCCTACAGTGATGATCCAAAGTATTACCTAAAATAAAGAGTCTAGCTTCTGCCTAAGATATTTTTGCTTTTTTTTTAAAATAAAGACTTTCATTGTAATTTGAATGGAGATATATTTGCTTTCTTTTTGTTATACCAATATACAAGAAAAGTAAATGGTTATACATATGAAGCCATCACATTATTACATAACACAATGTCATGAAGGGATCAACCCATTATTTAATCATGAAAATGCCAATTGACTAGTTAGGTGACTTGCAATGTTCCTGTATCGCACTTTTCATCTTTCTACAACGAAAACACAATTTTAAGGTACACTCTTTTTAAGCAAACTTTATGTTAAACACCATCCAGGGGACAGGCAGTGGTGAAGTGATCATAAAACTGGACCTACATGGAAAGTCCTGGGTTTGTGTTTAGGGACCTCGCTGAGTATAAAGGGGAAGTGAGTAAGCCTGTGTTCTGGGCTGGCTAAGATTGGGAGAGGATCATAGCATGAAGACCATGTTGAGATGGCTGTCTCTCTCTCTTCCCTCCCTCTGTCTCTTTCCTTCATAAAGACTGACTTCCTTCACTAAGCATAATACTTTCTTGGCATTTACCAACATTCTCTTTCTTTTTATTACTAGGTAATATAACTTTGCTTGATAGATTTTCCATTTCCTCACTTGGAGGCAATTGAATTATTCCCAGTTTTTGTCAATTATAGAATGTTACAGTTGCATGCAAGTTTTTGGGTAAATGTTCATTTTGTATTTCTCTGTGATAAATTTCCAGAAGTAGACCAAGGCATACTTAGTTTTCTTTCAAGATGTGAATTCCTAGAATTCAGGTCTTAGTCAATTGTCATTGAAAACATCCTATAACATAGTACCAATAAGTGGAAGGGAACTTCATGAATTTTTTATGATGATACTACCTGAAGCCAATGAAGAAACAATGAGCTTACTGTACACAGTCAAGTGACCATATTTGTTACAGTCCTTTGGGTAAAAGGGTTCTCCTGTGAAGTCTGAAATGTAGCTGCCATATTTCATAGGTCTTCACAGCCAGACAATACAATGTGCCTCATTATCAAACTTAAACATAATGTGTCACGTGGTCCAGGGGCAGCATCAGTTAATTAATCATCACTTAAGGCAACAGTGGGCTTAGAGGAAACATTGCCCACATCCGTATTGGGAAAAGCCAACACGGTTTTTAAAAAAGTCCCTTTGTAGTATAATAAATGTTAATTGGTTTAGATATTTTAGCCACATTCTCCTGAATCCTTTAAAATTTTATTCAGTAACTGACAAAGAAAGGGTTTCGTAAATAAGAGATGTGGATTATATCAATGAGAAATAAAACTGATTTTTTTTTTTCTTGAAAAAGGACTATTAGACATAAGATGCAAAGATCAGTCACCTTCTCATTAACCTCTCAAAATGAATCTATTTCAGGCCAGACTGGAAAATGTTTTCTCTCTAAAAGCTACCACATAGTCTAACAGTTAATTGTTATTCTTATCAAAGAATGACCCACATTAACATTTAGTGGGGGTCATTAGCATATTTGTAAAAAAATGGGGGGATACTTTTCTCTGATGGTCTTTGTTATGGACTGTTATGAAGGAAAGCTGTGAGGAAAAAAAATGAAGTAAATATTATTAACTGATTTTCAGACTCATCTATAAATAAGACTACTGATTGGATTGTAATTACATTTAGACACAAGCTGGTTTGGGGTCACTATGCTTTCTTTCTGGATGTAAACAGCATTACACTAGTTAACAAAGACCATTGGCGGAGGACAGAGGTCATAAGATGAACTCTTTATTTTGGTACATTGAGATTAATGATTGGAGCAAACTCTTCTCTGATTATTCTATGAAACTGCTTTTTTCTTTTTTCTTTTTTTCCTCTTGACACCATTGTAGGCATTCTAATACTGTGAAAAGTGAATGCTTATAAGGATCTGAGTGCAGAGCATGCTCAACAGTTTGGTAGGTATTAAAATGCTTCAGGTCTGAGTGAATTTATATATATATATATACACATACACACACACACATACATACAGACAATGGAGATTTTAAAAACTCCAGTTCTAAAAATTACTTATTAAAAGCTTTAGATAACATTGATAAACTTTATCATATAAACTCTTACATTTATATGAAAGGTGTTAAATTATATTTCAAAATAGAGCAAATGTAGATTGTGTGTTTAGTTCAAAATCCAACACTGTGGGGCTGACCCTGTGCTGCACAGTAATTCACTGCTCAAGGCAGGCCAGAGCCACAGGGTGACTGCACTTCCAATCCCTGGCCTGCTGGACCTGTGACACACCAAGCACGCCTTCAAGTACTCAAGTCCATCCATCTGGAGGACTGAAAGAAGGGGATCATGGCACAGCCAGGCCTTGTGGAGGATGTTTGCCCACGTAGGATTTAATCACTACCCTTTCCATATTTGCTCCAGTGTTTTGCAAAAAAGACGTTGGGCAAGATAATGTTTCATTTCACAAACTGGTACACTGAACAATGAATGCCTGAATTAACCAGGTATTTAACAATTTTTATGTTAAGCTATACATCTCAAAGCATTTAACCTTACCTAAGGCTTCCAAAAAATCTATAACAAACACCTTCTTTTTCTCTCATAAAATCACTTTCTATGTTTTGAAGAAAAGTTTTAGATGCTAGCAGAAAAATCTATACTCTGAGTGACTTTTCCAGGCTAAATAGTAAATGACAGTGGTAGTAATGAAGTTTAGAAGTCTGTTATAGTCCTTGGCTTGGATGGTTGTGTAGTGGTAAAGCACAGTGCTCTGTGAGGCTGATCCACAGGGTAGGGTTCCACATACAAGTCTAGAGACTTCCGTAAGTACATTGGACATTTGCAAGCCCATGATCAGGGCTGGCTGAAGTTGGGGGCGGGTCTTGACAGGGCTGCTATTTCTTTCTCTATTTCTCTGTCTCATGGTAGAAATAAACAAATAAGATAAAATGAAAACAAAAAAGGAGGAAGTGTTTTGTTTTTAAAGATGTATGGAATAGCCCTTCTTCTTTGCCTTTATCTTTGTTGTCTTAGTCATCCTTGTCTTTTTCTTCATAATCTACTTCCTCCTTCTTCTTCCTCCTCTTCTCCTTCTTCACTTCTCCTTCCTCCTTTCTTCTTATTCATCTTCTTGTTTTTTAAAAATTTATTAGTGGGCATTCACCAGGAAGAGATGAGAGACAGAGAGAGACAGAGAGAGAGAGAAAGAGAAAGCACCCCCACCATTGGGGATGGTCATACCACAATCTCTTTTCCTCCATTTCTCTTCTTGGGATTTTAGGCACATGTACATGTGCCTGACATGTTTTTCAAGCTGCCAGGTTTGAAAGGCTTTTTAAAAATACATGTTAACACATGTCAATAGGATTTTATTAGAGGCAGTAAAGTCTCAAAAGGCACAGATGTTTGGGGAGATACACCTATACTCAGTTCTACTCCAAGTCACCACTGCAAATCTTGGTATGTTATTGATCCCCCTCTAAATCTATTTCCATGTTTGCAAACTATAGATAAAATGTTATTTCCTAGTGTTGTGAAAATTATATAAGGTTCCATACATAAAGCCTTTAATATAGAGTCTATCAGAGACTTGATGTTTTATAAATATCAGGTGTTATTATCATTATTCTCAATTACATTCATCAAGCACTGATTTATGTTGTTGGAGTTTGGAGAAAAGCAAAGAGGGGGGATCCCTGTTAGTCACCCTTTGCTCTATTCCACTTTTCCCTGCTTGACCTAGAAAATGAGAAATTAACAGCAGAGGACTAGAATTCTCAGAGAAATGGAACAGGTGGCCATAATCCATCCAGAAACAATCTCTTCTGGTTCAGAAGAGGAACAGAGGAGTTGGGGAACAGGTTCATGGAGTAAAATGGTGAGTAATTTGCAGATCTGATGGTGAACATACTCAGTCATGTTAATAAACTAAAGCCACAAAATGAAAGGAGTTATCCAGATCTCCTGCTGTATTTCCTTATGAGGCAGACACCGCAAAGCCCTAGTGTTTTCTCACTCATTTGCCATGCCTACCATGACTTACATTTCAACAAACCTGAAAGAAGCAATGGTATTTAATGAGCGCCATTGGCTCTACGTTTGTGGTTCAGTTTTTGTCAAGGAGATGTTCGCAGTAGCCATTGGCATGAGTCACATGTTTGTGTTTTCAAGTTGTGAAAATCATTGAGTACACCTCAAAATGATCCTTACCTGGTAGAATTCTAGTGTAATATCCAGAGCAGCACTGATGATCCGGTTGTGCCTCTTGTATTCGGCCACCACAACAAACTCCAGTTGAATTCAAAACAAATGGGATGTACTTTTCTTCACAACAGCGGTGTCCAGGCTGGTGTTCATAGAGAACTCCATTACAACAAACCTGAAAGTTTGCAATCAATTTTAAAGAAATACTCATTTAACCTGAAAGTATTATGCTACCATCTCAGGTGGTAAGTTTATTTTCTTACAAGGCCATCATCTAAGATCATTTTATTGGTAAAATTGAAAAGGTTTAAAATAGTATATTTTCCTGCATCATTCAAATTTTATATGACCAGCCTTTTGTAGCTTCATGATTAAGGGAGCTAGATTCCACATGGCTGATCATGGTTCAAATTCTGATCTTGGTGACTTGAAAAAACATGCTGCACTCATGTGCATGCATGCCCCAAATCTCAACAGGATGGAGAACTTGAAATAAAGAAATTGCAGCATGACCATACCCACTGAGTGGTCCTTTTGCCCTCTTCCTCTCTCTTGACGTCTCTCCCTGACAAGTGCACATACCTCTGGCAAGAATGAAGCAAAAAAGTAAATTCTATAAACATTATTTGATGCAAGGCAGATTTTTTCCCCTTCAACTCTGCTTTGTATTCTATTATAATATTCTATAAATATGAATTACCTTTGAAATATCTGTGCTTCTATTGTACAAATGATTTAGAATTGTAAATAAACAATTTCTTTCATATATATGTTTTTATTTCAATGACTGTTTAACTTGAAAATACCATGTCTATGAAAACTGTCTCTCACTGATCCTTTTTTAAAATAAATTGTATTTTTCTTATAACATATAATCACTTATTTATGAACTCAGTCTTCAGACAAGGCAATTGAAACAGAGTCCTATGTGTGTGTATGTGTGTGTGTGTGTGTGTGTGTGTGTGTGTGTGTGTGTGTGTGTGTGTGTGTGTGTGTGTGTGTGTGTGTGTGTGTGTGTGTATGGTTTCCACAGTAAAAAAATGATATGGAAACTAATTTTAAAAAGTCCTTTTAACTCTCTATTTTATCCAGAAGCAGTGGAAGAAATTATGTGCTTGAACAATCAAATAATTATTTGCATGCTGTTGAGGTCTGAGAGACTGACATGCTGCATATACAACAAATCAAGCACTGAAATGTAGCCTCAGACCCTGTATTAGGAATAAGTTACATTAGTTAGACAGAAGCTTCCTGTGGCAAGTTTACTTAGCTACCATTAAGAGGTATTTTCTTCTCTTCTTTTAGCTCATTGCTACCTCTAGCATGCACCAACATTTGAACCAAGTTCAAAAGAGAATCTGTTGGATGTAGAATATCCAACAAGGACCACTAGTTTATTACTTCATTAGCTTCTCAAACATTATCTAAAACCAAGGGAATTTGACTCTTAAATCCAAAGTGAACCCATCATGGTTCTTCACGTAGATATGCTAAACGAACTGCAATACTTTTCTTTTGCTGGGTTTAGCTATTAGCAAGAAGGATCCAAAATGAATCTAATTCCAAGGATACATTGGGTGACTCCTCCCTTTGATGTCAAATTCTGTGTGAAACATATATTTTGAATTTTTGACCCATTATTAAGTATTAAGAATTATGCAAGAAATTATCTCTGTGTTTTTTTGGGGGATTGAAGAATGCTAGTCAGGGTAAAAACATATACCTCCTTCTAATTTTATGACAGTGACCTAAAATCTTGTCATTTTTTTTTTTTTATCTTAAAGCAGTTATCAAAATCCCATTCGCACAGAGTGCATTTCTGGGCATTATTATCAAATTTTTTACACAAACCTAAACTACCAAGAAAGTATCTAATCAGAACTAGCTTTTATTTTTATGAAACACATTAGACAAACTGATTCATTAATTCTATGCCTGTACTATTATTGTCTTCTTGCCAAGCTTCTCATTGGATAGCACATATTAAAGTAATAGAAACAGAAAAATTGAGGAGTGAATTCTCTATTTTGCCCAACATTTTTTTTTCAAGTTTTATGTTTTTATGGAGAAAATTTCTAACAAGTGAATTTATTTCAGCTTTTATTCCTCTCATAAATCTTAAATTTAATTTATTTTATAAAAGTATATTCATTAGACACTATGTTCAATGGCTTAAAATAACATAAAAGAGGCATAATTACAATTGTGTATAAATGTCAGTAAATGTATATAGTTGGTAACTGCTGTGTTTGATAGTAACTATTGCTAAACTTATATTGGCCATGATAATAAATACTTTGATACATATTGCTTCAGTATCTCACTTTTGTAATTACTGTGTTCTTTTGCAGTGAATCTTAGGGATTCAGTAATAGCTTTCATCACTGAATGTGTGATGTTGTTGACAAATAGGAACATTATTTCACTATATTAAATCCTACCTTCAAACTCAGAATTTTCTATGTTGTTTGTCAATAAAAGCCATTTACAAACTCTTCTGTCGGGCTGTATTATTGATCTGATTCCTAAACAGCAACTAATAAGAACATTAATCTGTAAATGACCATAATTCTAAAATATTTCTGACAAACCATGAGAAGTCTTGCTCACAGCTACTCATCAGGGTCATGTAAACAGACACCCACTTGTGGTTGAATGAATTTGTTGTGAAGAAAAACTTTCAAGTCATTCCATAAAATACAAATTTGGGAGGTTCCTTATCATTCTAATAAATTCTTATTTCCTGTGAAGATAATGAAAAATGGGAAGGCTAAAGTGCTCAGAAGAATGATAGATTTTTATAGGCACCCTTTCTTCTCCATGGGGTCTTGTTGAGAGAGGAGCGGAAATACCGACCATGATACCCTATGGTGTAAGAAACAAGTGATTTTACATGGAAGGTTTAGTGAGAAAAACACATTTCACTGACTCTTTTGAAAAGATTTACCTTAGCTTCAGGAGAATAGCAAGTGTGTCCACAGATATTTTCAGGTTTTTGACACTTCACTGCCTTGCAGAGCTCATTATCATGGCCCTCCATTAGCTTCTGGGTTTTAGGGCATGCATACCATGTCTTCCGTAAGAGATCGTACCCAAGAATGATTCCATTTGGCTTCCCTGGAGACGACCAATCAATCCGAAGAGATCTGCAACAGATAGGAAAATCAATACTTCTGAAAAGACAACATTTAACATTGCTGCTATCCTCTTCACCTACTATTCAATTCATCTTCCATATTAGCCAAAAGCTCTATTTCATTAACAACTTCTTGATTAAAAACTAATAGCCATATACATACACTATATATATATATATAATACACACACAAATACATATGTATGCACACAAATACACACATATACACACACACATGCATATACACACAGTCATATATGTGACTACCATATAATAAGTTTTGAGAATAAATAAAAATTATTTTAGTTTTATGTTAATCAAGTGGGAGAATAACAATGACATGAGTTCCCTGGTCTCTTAATTTCAGTTTCAGAAACAAGAAAAAAAATACATCATTATTTGTAGTTTATCAGGAAAATCAACAGAACATTTTTTTTTTTTACATTTTTTTATTTGTTCATGGTGTAGTGTGTATGAGAGAGAGAGAGAGAGAGAGAGAGAGAGAGGAAATGAGAATAAGAGACACAGAAAGAGGAGTATCCTGCACAGGGTCTGGTCATAACACAATCCCTTCCTCCACTCCTCCAGCCTATAACGTCCTGGGAACTTTGTGTGTTTCAGGAGGACAGGCTGGCGATATGAACCACGGTGGCATCTGACTTGTCTTAAGCAGCACTTTATAACACAGTGCCATGGAGCCAGCTTAGAACATTTAGTTTGATAAGAAAAATAAGACATAAAAAACACAGCTTTATAAACAAGGTGAAAATTAGGGTATGTGACAAACTTAATCCCTATTTGTGATCATCTTCTCCTTTGCCTTATCTCAGCTAGAACCAGCGACATGACCCAGGACTGCTCAGAAAGGAATAATAGGAGGCCTGCCGTGAGATGCCTATGAAGATTCATAGGGAATCTGAGCTTTCTTAATGCAACTGTCTCCTTTTCTCTTCTTTTCTGATAAAATCGGATGTCTGCGTTTCAATAATCATCTTGCAGTCGTTTGAGAAAAACCTTAGAATTTCTGCCATGGTATTTGGTATTGCTGATCAAATGCCAATAACCACTCTAGAATTACTGGGTCTTCGGAAAAGTCATGACGCATTTTTGCATAGAAAAATACACCGTGACTTCTCCCATGACCCAATTTCTATTCAAGTCTCTGTCTTTGAATGTTTTGTTATTGTAGTCAAAATAAATGCTCAACTTGATAAAATTTTTAGTATTACTAACTTCCTTCAAACATACTTTAGTGTAGCTTATCTTTGATGTGCCTAAATAGATTTCTTTCTGCAGTAGCTTGTTTTAAGTTTGTTTCTTCCAAGAAAGACAGCACCCCCAATGAGGTCTTGGCACTGTAATCCACCCCTCCCCTCAGTCAACGCCAGACCAAGGGCTCATGCATGCCTAGCATACTCCCGGAGATGTCCAGACACAAACCTGGTGCCCTTACATGTGCAGAACATGTATTTTAAAGTGGCACCACCATCCTGCCCCAACATTTCTCCAATAACTCTTTAGCTAGTATGGTCAGATATGTTTTACAGTCAGAAATACAGAAACTGGACATTCGCATAACAAATATGTCTACAACATCATGTTGGGAGGTAGGGGTGGGATTAGTATACAGAAAGGGTGTTAACTGCTGACCAAAACTTTACTGCATTTTCAATTATCCATTAATATTTTATATGCTATAGCAAATCAGATCATAACATAAAGTTGCGCACAGAGGTGACAACCCTGAATAAAATGATTTACTCTCAGGTTAATGTCATAGAACTTTAATTCTGCACTTAGGTCTACTTGCCAGAAAGATATTGCCTAGATCACACATCGGTACTACCTTTACTATTTTCTTATTAAGCATTATAGACGGAGAGCTTTTAATAAAGCCCCAGAAACATGGTATGACATATTCTTGCAGTGAGGCACGGCTTAGAAAGCTTTCTCTGCAAAACACTAGATAAATGTAAAAATAATTATTTTTATCCAATTTTTTAAAGAAAAGGATAGAACTCTGACATTCAACATCAATTTGCCTTTTGTAATCCTAGCATTTTCAAACGTAACAATTAACCAATCACAAGTAGTTTTAGGGTATCTTTTACATATAAAACATGTCAATAGGTATTTTAGAAGAAAATAAGCACCCATGAGCCATCTGTCTATTTCTCAAAAGTCTTATGTGTAACTCTTACATTAACTTGAATAATGACTTTTAGTCATTATATAAAATAATATTTTAAATATAGAATCTATAAATATATACATTTTATTTTAAAATGAAATATATCTTACAGGCCAGATTACTGAAGTCTATCAGAATTCTAAGTGATATCACATTTAGAAATTCAATGAAGCTCAAACATTTACATTAAAAAGCAGCAGTCAAGAAAAACCTCAACATTCTAACAGATTGCTATAAAAAAGAAAATTATCCCATTTCCTTGTGGATTTAAACATAACATTTTCAGTAATAAACTCTGTAGATAGGAAATTAATATTATCTATGAGGGAATAGTTTCTTTTCTCTTTTCTTTCCTTTCCTTTTCGTCCTTTTCCTTTTCTTTTCTTCTTTTCTTTTCTTTTCTTTTCTTTTCTTTTCTTTTCTTTTCTTTTCTTTCCTTTCCTTTCCTTTCCTTTCCTTTCCTTTCCTTTCCTTTCCTTTCCTTTCCTTTCCTTTCCTTTCCTTTCCTTTCCTTTCCTTTTCTCTCTCTCTCTTTCCTTCCTCCTTTCCTTCCTTCTTTCTTTCTTTTTTCTTTTAGAGGTTATTGCTATAGGGCGCGTGCGCTCGCCAGACAGACAGAGAGAGATAGAGAGACAGAAAGTGAGAAATCATGCTCCAGGGCAGATGACCATGCTGCAATCCCTTCTCCTCCATTCTCCTCTTGGAATCTTGGGCACACACGCACACACGCCCGGTGTGAGTTTTAAGCTACCGGGTCTGGGACGCGAACCGCAGTTGACTACAAGGGAGTCCAGCAACATAGCCATTACGCTAAGTGCTGGTCCCCCTTCCTTCTTTCTTTAAGTTACCAGAAAGAACATACACTTACCAGAAAGACAGAAGGAGAGAGAGAAAGTATTTCCAAATGGGGTAGAGTCATACATAAATCCCTTCTCTTCCATTTCTCATCTTGCTGGGATTTGGGACATACATGGACATGTACCCAGCATAGCTTTCAGGCTGCTAGGATGAGGGTTTGAACTATGGTCAACTATGTGGTATCTGGTCCCCTTAATCACTAGGCTGTGTGGCTAATGAGAGAACAGTTTCAAGGGTGACTTGTAGAGTCACCGTTATTCTAAAGTCTTTAAACAATTTTTAAAATTAATCTCATATTCTGCAAATATCTCTTCTTTATTCATTGCATAACCAACTACAGAGAAGAGTACATATAAGTAACATTCAAGGGTCTGATTTAGTCACAAAAGTTGATGAACTAGTGAAGTTTATAAAACATCATGTAGAACACCATGCTATTTTGTTTTCTCTTTCTTATGCAAAATAACTATTTTTCTTTTAAAGAGAGATTTTTGCTATAGGGTGCATGTGCTTGCCAGAGAGACAGAGAGAAACAGAGAGACAGAAAGCAAAAAATCACTCTCCAGGGAGATATCCATGTCGCAATCCCTTCTCCCCTCTTTCTGGGATCTTGGGCATGCCAATACACATGCCTGATGTAAGTTGCAAGTCACTGTGTCTGGGACTAGAACCATGGTCAACTACGTGGGAGTCCAATGACATAACCATTATGCCATCTGCTAGTCCCTGCAATATAACTATTAAGTGAATTATGTTCAGAAATGCATCAAAGAGTTTTGCTTTTGAGGATGTGAGTTAGTTCTCCAAAATAAATGGTAAAAGAGTAGTAGATTTAACACTTGTACATTTCTTATTAGAACCAATGACTGCTGATTCAGAAATGAAAGACATCTCTCAGAAATATACACCATTATTAATAAAACTAATGCTGTCTTTGCTTTGATATTTAAGAGTAAAATAGAAGAAATATTCTTAAACTCTAGGAATGAGTGTTAAATACTAGGAAAAACAGATTTGTATGTATGTATAAACTTTTACTATATAGATCAATAAAAGTTGCACAATAATACATGAATATAAATTGTTGGAAACTTCAAATGGATCATTTTGGAGATTTGTCTATGAAATGACTATTAGAGTATATTTAACTCTCAGAGAACTAGAGACTAACCTTTAAGTAACTGCAAAAAACTTCTGATAAAAGCTATTAAGTCTATAGATATTTTGGTACATGAATTCATTGAGTGGTCAGACACTTTAGTTGGAGTTTGTCTTCTTAATTCTCTCATATTGCTATTAATAGAAACTATTCTGCTTCTTTACTAGTACATGCTGTTGTGGTACCAACACAGAGGTCCTCAGTTCTAGCTGTCTCGTCAAAAGTACTAAATATCATTAAAGCAAAAAGACGTAGATGAAAGTAATTTCTTATCATTTAACTTTATACAGGGAAATGCTAAAATGATACAGATAAAACAGAATTTTTATAATGAGTTAAGGTTCACACTAGCATTCTAACATTTTAAATAATTATTTTCTTCATTTTATTTATCAGTATAGTTATTTTCAATTTGACCAGAGCAAGACACATACACACCCATTCCCTCCCCCCATCCCCCACCCCACACACACAGAGCAAGTCACCATATCTGGGACTTGAACTGTGGTCAGCCATGTAGAAGTCTAGTTCCCCTAACCACCATGCCACAAGCCGACCCTGTATTCTAACATTTTATTCTAATATTTTATCACCATTTTGTCAATATGTTCTTTGGGCCAGGCAAGACACATACACCCCCATTCCCTCCCCCCATCCCCCACCCCACACACACAGAGCAAGTCACCATATCTGGGACTTGAACTGTGGTCAGCCATGTAGAAGTCTAGTTCCCCTAACCACCATGCCACAAGCCGACCCTGTATTCTAACATTTTATTCTAATATTTTATCACCATTTTGTC